TGTATTTATAGAATAAAGGTTTTTTTCGTTTTTAATACAAAATCTTGATCAATTGCACAACGTCTATCCTGACGTTTTCATTTTTTACATTTTTATTATTACAAAAGAATATCTCTTCCAATCATGTGCCATTTGAAGACTGATCCTAACACTTAAGGTTCATATAAAAACATTAATTTAGGAATTATTTATTGCTTGTATATAGGAATTTTTTGGTTGCGTCTCAAGACTTATGAAACAAGCTGTACGCTTCGCATGGCAATAGCGTCTTTCTGCAGAAGAAAATGTATAAATACAATATAGTCATTCCTTTACGTGTATCGGCATATTTGGGCTTGTTTATTTCTTCCTTTTTATTCAATAGTGGTACAGACATGGAAGAATTTCATCTAAATCGTACCCTACTATCAGTTTCTTGTCCATACCAATGTTGAATCAAACGAAAGAAGTAAACGAACTCAAAGATACATATATAGTTACTTATTTCAAATGATTTTTTAAAATAGAGTAGCCTATCTCGGCTATCATATTCAACACTTATGACAGAATAATAGTGCCAGGATTTTTTCTTTATAAAAATAAAAATTCGAACATCATAATAAGTCTCCAACTATCTTTTGTAATATCATATGATTATAATTGAGCGATTTCTATTAGATAGACGTACATCATTCGTTGTACGTAAATATTAAACTGAGTTACAGATTCTATGAAACAAGGATCTACGAGGGCTGCGCGAACACAAATACAAATTGTACTCTGGAAAGAATATGATCCCTCCCTCCTGTTCCTCAAACTTAGAACTAGAGAATTTCTAACGTTAGGTACTCTCATATACTCTCATGTATTCTAACGTACAATAATATATTCTACAGTGGTGGGGAGGAGGAACCTTTAGTTTTCAGAACTTGTACTGTCATATACTGGGAAAAAACCTTGAATTTGCAGAGTTTATACTCTAATGTACTCTCATGTAGTTTCACGTACTGAAACTCATACCTATATCCCATATCCACACCCTAAATAAGAGTACAGAGGGGTGGGAGAGAAAGTAAGAAATTCTACAAATTCTAGGTTTTATCCGAGTACATGAGGGTACTTGAGGAGTTATAACCTTTGCTGAGTACAAATTGTATTTGTATTCGCAGATTTCTGATCAAACTAACCGAATAAAGCCTGAAATCAGTACGAACTGCAAGAATTGAGTTATTTGCCAATGTTTCGCTCTATTGTTAACAGGAAATTTATCCATAAAACCAGTAAAGTAATTCAAGAAATTCGATCGATACCAGTTTTTCGGTACCTGGTTTGTATTGCATGACATAGATGCAAGGAAAATGAGAGAATGATTGTATTGATTGTTCTTCAGAGACAACTGGCTAAAACGAGCAGCTAATCTCTGCATTTCCGAATATGAAAAAATAGAAAATGGTATTATCACATCGGAGAAGCACTACTTTGTTTTTAAGTAGTTGACGTTTCGTATAATTTTTGTTGGATCACATACATTGCTTTTATGCCTTATGAGAGAATTTCTCTGCGTCGTCGATCGCTTTTCGGTCAATGTACGACATCATTTCACTTTTCGAGAGGTCTTTTTGTCAAGATATTGACTTTTCGATGAGTCTCTTTTCATCGTCATCATTTTCCTCCTCCAATGACTTCTAGTGTTTGGTATGTTTACGTCGAACATTAATTCTCTATGTTTTGCTTTCCACTGAAAAGATTTTCATGATTCCACATGTGTCATCAAATACTCCAAAGAAAGTAACATCATTGTTTTTTCTCTCTCTCTCTCTATTCTGCAATGTGTTCGTCCTTGTCATTTCTTTTATTCTGGTTTTTAGACTTGCATACACTAGTTTGAAGTGTATCAGCTATATAATAAAGTATTAAGCCTGATAAAAAAGACAGCTTCTCATATAGCTGCATTGCTCTGGTTAGTGGATAAATGGCTTCTTTCCAAGGAGTACGCGAGGTATTCGTACAGTGTATAGGATTACTCGCCGCAAGCTTTGCTTCAATTGGTATTGACGCCGCCAATAATCGATTTAATGGTCGAAGGATCAACCAATACCGTTGCACCAAGCTTCTCAAGGATAATATGATCATTCGTCGATTTTACTTATATGAAACTCTTATTCGCCATAGCTTCGTCGTTTTTCAAACGAACTCGCGGCACACATTTAAGGTTCATCTAATTGCTGATGTTGATCCAAGTGCTTATCAACCGATTTACGTAGAAATCAGACGAACTTATTGGAAGCCAACTGGTAACTATATACGAAGGTGTAACAAAACCGCATGGAATTTAAAACGTTTCGTACAAGAAGAAGTTAAAAAATTTGGACCCTATGAAGTGGGCTTCCATGATTGTCGACACTTTGCTCGAAGAGTAGCAGCATTTCTGGCTCATTGAACATTCCGCAATATATCCCAGACGTTTTCCGCACATACGCCATTCTCAAATATTATAGAAACTGTGCCGAATCATAGACATCACAATTTTGATTCTGAACACGTCAAGCAAGAAGCAAAAGTTATAACGTCGTAAATAGGCTCATTGGACCTTGCTACCTAAATCGCCATTACCTTATATGAGATGAAAGATTTTGTTGTGAGGGTGAATGTAACGGTGGGTGTGTTGGTGTAAGTGTCTGGGTGGGGTGTGGGTGTGGGCGTGGGTGTGAGCGAAAATAAAAGACAAGCCTGCGCCTACACCCACACCCACACACACCACACGCACATCCACACCCACACCCTCAAGAAAAAGTATTCACTTCTTTCAATCGTGACTTGTATTTCGGCATGACTGGAAGTGAAGCCAAATAAGCTGAGAATTTCAAACTCTATGGATTTGTATAATTGCCTAGTGAAACGGCGCTCAGAATAGATCAGAGCGTATTTTACTAATACCCATAGGTATAGAGAAGTTGGTGATCTTCTAACACACACAGGTTTTTGATTTACATTGATGACAAGAGTCTTGTTTCAATAAAACGTAAATATCTTTATGGAAAAGGATTTCATAGAAGATATCGATTTATTCGGCAATCAACATTGAAAGCTTCGTACCACATTTTACAGTCAAATGACACTCAAATGCCATCTAGTTCAATATGCTTTAAATTGGAAAGTTTTTTTTATTCATGCTTTCAATGACTTCTTTGATTCGAGATTTTAATCTCTACGAATTGATTTTTACCAACAAGCATAGTATTAAGTATATGCATTGCTTTTTAAGAGTAAATGTCTGCTAGAAAAAAAGAAAACACCACAATCATTTTTCTAGATCATGGAGATCTATGAAAATTTTCAATATGTATGGGTTTATTTGAGAACAATGCATGAAATCAAAAGGTATTTATTTTTGTTAACTGGTAGATATTTTTTTTTTTTTATTAAATTTAATTTTCATTATGCTCGATCATAACAAACAGAAACAGCTTGTGGTGCAGGACATTGTCCACCAAAATATAAATCTTGCATCATACCAAGTTTAAAATCTTTACATTGACGATGAGTAATTTCTTGAGTTTCAAGAAGTTGATCATTATTATCAAATAATTGATATGTTGTTTTAGTTTCTTCAAATATAAGTGTCACTTTATACCAAACATCAACTTGTAAACGAGTTGAAAATTCTTTTAATAATGTACCTTGATTTTCAAATGGTTTAAGACCATTATCATATGCATATGCAGCTATTTCAATTAAATTCGAATCAGGACAATTATCATTTTCACCAGTAACATATCCAGAGTCATAACGAAGACAACTTCCAACACGGCGAAATACAAAACGATCTGAATCTTTATGATTACTTGTCAAATACCCACATCGACAAGCTCCCCATAATTTATTCCATGATGTTGTACATAAATGACCTTTAGGTTCTGTTGATGGAAATAAATAGTGAGCTGAACTATTTGTGAATTGAACACGTGTTGAAATAATTTCATTAGATTTTAAACCATGAAATGGAATCAATGATGTATAATGTGCACCTTGTTTTACTGTTCGACATTCAGCTGAATTGACGGCATTTTTAGCAATGAATATCGTAGCAATTATAGTAAGAACAAACAGCATTCCCATTGATGTTTTTTTTTCGTATTTCAATCAAATAGTTTGATTTCTTTTTGTTATCGATGTATATAAGTACGATTGAAAATTTTCTATACACCTGTGCAATGTAAAAGATTAATTTGATATTCTATATTAAAAAATATAAGAAAGGGATCAATAGAAAGTAAAGCTTGTGATATTCTTCTAATATTTTCTTTTTTGTTTTTTGAAATAGATAGTAAATGAAGATTATTTCACTGCAATACAATGTTAGCTAAATCACTGACTAAACACAACGGATGTAGAAGGTACACTTTCAATATTGGAATCTTCACATCCCGCCCTACCCTATAGCTACTATACATCTTTTAAAAGCAAAATTCAAACTTATGAAATTTTTCTCATATTATATTGTATCATCCTTGTGATTTTCAAAAAATCATATAAATTGTTGTCTTGAGAAAATTATTCGAATATTAATTTTAATTTTGAAAAATGCATTTATAGTTCTTTTATTCGTCAGCTTGGCGTTCTTTTTTCTTTTGTGATGAAACACATTGTAAAAGTGTGAGAAAAAACGTATACACACATGCACATCGAACAAAATAAAATAATAACAATAGAAGCTATAAACCTCACTATTTAATCCTTTCCGATACAAAAAAAAAAGAAAAACATATCTAAGAAAACAGAACGCAATTTAGTGCATAAATAGTAATTAATCAGAAAGGATCAAAACATGGAAATCAGACAAAAAGAAAACCAAACAATGACAGAATACAAAACATAAACACAAAATAGATCAATATAAATGAAAACATATCTTAAATGTGAAACGTATAAGAGATTAATATTCTCCGAATATGAGATCTGACTCAGAGAATAAGAACTAAAAATATGATGATCAAATTTCCAATATAACAATAAATAAATTATTCAATGTTTTTATACATTTCTTCAAGTTCTTTTTCAAAGTATTTTGATAATTCAGGTCGTTTAGTTTTCATTGTTGGTGTTAAAAGATTATTTTCTATTGTAAATAATTCAGGATGTAGATAAATATCTTTTGCCTAGACAAATATAACAACAACAAAAACAAAATTACTAATAAAATATAAAAAAAATGCACATACCATTTCAAAACCTTTTAATGAATTTGATTTTTCTAATTGTTTTATATCATTAAATATCAATTCTTTAATTTCCTAAAATAAAAACGACCATTATTTAAAATAAGAAAATAAATCACAAAAAAAACGAGCAATCTTACTTTTTTCTTACATAATTCTATAATATCACCGGAGATATCCTTTTCACGAGTATATTTTTCAAGAACTTCTATATCAGGAACAACAATAGCTACTGTAAAACTCTATATAAACCATCAAAACACATTGCATAACAAATTAAATACATATATCAATAATTTTACCTTATAACCATTACCATAAACAAATACTTGAGCAATATATTTACTCTGAATATAAATATTTTCAATACGTTCTGGTGCAACATATTCACCCTAAAATAAAAAATAATAAAAATTCATTTATACATAACGAAAGAAATTTTTCGATTAACTCTTATGAAATGTCTCTAATTTCAATAGATAGAACATATTTATACTAGAGAAGAAAACTTAAAACAATTCATGCATATAGATTTATCTATCTAAACTAAGACTATCTTATGAAAAAATATTTTTCAACTGATCAATGACTTTTTTTTTATTAAAAGATACTAGACTAATAGATTATCAATCATGAGAAATTCTTATACGAACTGCTTTCTAGACACTTGTATATGTTCTATAAATTGTTTTTTTTTTGTTTTGCGACAAAAGTGATTAATCAATTGAAAACATTCCTTTTTAAATTAGGTTTTTCAACAAAAAGCCATGCTTTGTCTAAACTAAACTTCAAAACTAGCATTTCACAAAAAATTTTCCGATGGAAATACATTATTGTAAAAGAATAATCAGTTATTTTTTTAGTATCATTTAATCTAAGATAAAAATATAAGAACAATTGATTGCTTTTTTAATGCAAAAAAAAAAAATCATAAGTTTCTTCGAAAATTGACATACCATAAATCGAAACTGTTCAAATCAATTAAATACTTATTAAAATAACAAGATATGATATATAAACTTTAGTACTACCAGTAATAAAATGACTCTGAACAAATTACTAACCGATCATCTGTCTATATAAGAATTCTGTCTCGACTTGTAGTAAAAACATAATAGATTTCTATAAACTAGGACATACTTGTGCTAATTTAAACATATGTTTTTTTCGATCAATAATTTGAATTTGACCAGTCTAAGAAAAATACAAAATAAATCATATATGAAAATAATCAAACAAAACAAAAAAGAAAGAAAAAATATTCTCTTACCGGTATCCATTTAGCAACATCACCTGTATGTAACCAACCATCATTATCTAATGCTTCTCTTGTTTTTTCATCATCTTTATAATATCCTTGAAATACATTTGCACCTTTTATACATAATTCTCCAACATTATCTTTTGAAAAATATTGCATATCAGGTACATCAACTAATTTAATCATATTACAACATAATGGTACACCAATATTTCCTGTTGTTGGATCACCAAGCATTTGACATGTAGATATACCACAACATTCTGTTTGTCCATAACCTTCAACAACATAAGCACCACAAACACGTTTAAGAAATTGAAGAATTGTTGGTGATAATGGTGCAGCACCACTAACAATTAATTTAACTCGACCACCAAGACGTTGTTGAATACGTTTTAAAATAATACCATCCCATATCATATGACGTTTAATACGATGTTTATCAACATCATCTGATTTAGCTGATAATGCTTGATTAAATAAAAAACGTTTTATTGGATTTAATTGACGAATTGTTGATTGAATATTATCATACTTAAATTAAAACTTAATATTTTCTTTTTAAAGATTTATTATATTTACCATTCGATTAAGAAGTCGAGGTACACAAGGCATTAAAGTTGGTTTTAAACAAGCAAGATCATCAGCTAATTGACGTACATCACCTAAATAATAACCAATTTTAAAACCATTACATAAACAATAAAGCTAAAAAAAAGAAAAAACATCAAATATTTAATTAATAAATAAAAACAACAAAAAAAGCAATGATTTACTTCTATTGTTTGTTCATATGAATGAGCTAATGGTAAATATGAAATAAGTGTTTCTAATTCAGTAAAAATTGGACTCTAGAAAAAAAAAAAAACAACACAATGAAACATACTTTTTCAATAAATTTCTTTTTAAAATAAAGTTTAAACATACAAAAAATTCTGATGCAGCTTGAATCAAACAGATAACATTTTTATGTGTTAACATAGCACCTTTTGGTAAACCTGTTGTACCACTTGTATAACAAATTTCAAACATATCATCAGGTTTAGGCGGCTAAAATAGATAAAATTTATTTTTTCTTTTATTTATGATTAAGTTTAGATAATCTTACATGATGTGCAACTGGTTTTGATCGCCCAAGTTCCTAGAAAAAATAATTATTAATAGAATTCATTAGGATAAAAAAAAAATAGAAATGTTATTTTTAAAATTATTACTTGTAATTGATTATATGTCATAATTTCAATACCAATTTCTTTAGCTTTATTTCTTATTTCTAAATCTTTATCATTTGGTAATTTTTTTGTAAGAATTATTCGTTTTAATGTTGATACTTGATTAGAAAGTTTAAGTAGAACAAGAATATTTTCAGCTTTATCAACAAATACTGTTTTTAATGAAGCTAAAAATTTAAAAAAAAAAAATTATTAAAATATAATAGTAGAAAAAAAAACAATTATACTTTGATTAATTATATGAACAATAGCAGGTTCACCAAGTGTATCATAAAGTGGTACATAAACCATGCTATGAAAATGACATGCCAAAGCTGTTGTCATCCACTAGAAATTTAATCAAAACGAAAACAAAAAAAAGAAGATAAGAGCAAAACATGCAATATATATGTTAATTTACTTCAACACTATTAACTGCATAAATACCAATAAAGGTTTTTTGTCCATAATATTCACCTAATTGAATAAGTCCACTACCAATTTCTGTACCCATTCGATCTGCCTAAAGATTAAGAATATGAATTTAAAATATAAAATGATTTCTGTTGTTTTTTTTTAATTTACTTCTTCGTATGTTATCCATTGATATTGTGATTCACGATCTGCTCGATAGCCTAAACATTTTCCATCACCTAAACAAATAAAAAAAAAAACAATAGGAAAATATATTTGTTAGAATGAGAAAAATAAAACCTTGTCTAGTTGCAATTTCTTTGCCAAATTGGAAACCTTCATAAAAGGTAGTATATGTACGATCATCAATAGTAGATATGCCTGTTGTTATTAATGGTCTTGAACCAAGTGATGCAGCAACACGCGCTTCAGAAAATCCTTGTGCCTAAAAAACCGTATTGAATGATTATTGACATAAGTTCGTTTACGGACGAAATAAAAATAACACTTCATGTATTGAAATAAATTTTGCTTAGTTTTATGTAGACTATAATCAAAATATGTTCTGTCTTAGATGTGCAAAAAAAAAAAAAGAAACTGATAATGATTAATTTGACTAGTAGTTTTGATTTTATTTTAAATAATTTTCTTCATATTGATATTTATTAAAATTATAATGAAAATAATTAAAAATACAAACCTGTGCTGGTATTGTAAGTTGTTGCCAATCTGTATCTTGATTCATTTCTTCAATAGCAAAATCTTTGACAAGAAATGAAGATAATTTATCTTTATGACGATGAATAACTGCAGCAGCAACAAGTGCAAGTGCACCACCAACAGCTAATGTTGTCTGTAGAGAAGATGAAAGATTATCATCAGATACCATTGTATCCATCTTTGTTTTCTGTTTTTGGATTTTTTTGGTTTATATATGTGATTAGTTAGTTAATAATATTCAATAAAATAAGAATATTATTATGTGTGAATACAAACTAGAACAACGGAAACAAAAAAAAAAAGAAAGAAATTTTAATGATGAAAGCAGAAAAGCATACGTATGCTATTAGTGTTTTTGGTATGTGCTACCAAAGCAACGTTAAAAAAAAAAGAACGGAAGAAAGCAAAAAACATGTAATATATGTTTGTGCCGCATATATATTAACTTATTCTTATAAAGACATGTAAGAATAAAACAACAATGAAAACTCGTAGGCATACATCATGAATATGATTCATTTCTACGTCATCGTACAACACATAGTACTATACAATGAAGCATGAATGAAATTTTAAAATAATATTATCAAACTCAATTTCTTTATTTTATCTTTTATTATTGACAGATAGTTAACAATTATGATTACTATTGATACACCTCCATATAAGTCTAACACTTGTTGTTGTTGTCGTTCTTCTTCTTCTTTTTCTTTGACATATTTATAATTCTTTTATCAAATAATGTTAGAAGCAATGCACACATAGATACACACAAATCAAAGTATTTGATAGAAAAATTAAATAATTATATCTAATTTACCTTTTTTTTTTTAAATTTCTTATTGAAGAAAAAAAACCCAAATTATAAAGGTTGTCTCGAAACTTGTTTACACGACAATGAAAATAATGTGCCACACTATTGGCAACTGAGTGAAAAGAGTAGTAACAGCAATGACGACAGTGCTGATGCTGTTGCTTCAGAGAGGATGAAGGAAAAGAAAAGAAGAAAAAAAAAAAATAGAGGAACGATAGATTGCACAATGACTTCGAACTCTACACAAGGATCTATAAGAAAAAGAAACGAAGAAAAGTTATACAACATAATAAACAACCACACCTTCAACAGTGGTTGACCAATCAGCAAACATCAATCATCATATTAATTGTTGTCTCTTCTACTCATTTTCGTTTATATCATTAATGGTTTACTTACCCAAAAAAAATTATTACATATATATATATAATAATAATTACTATAAAAAAAGCTAGCATTGAGTTATCACTAAAAACAGCATATTGTAATGAGATTCTATTATATTTTTATATGCTTAACGTAATTACCTAATAAATTCAATCATAAATAATATACATAGATTACTGTCAAACGAAATATATATATCTATTCATGTAAACAATTTAAAAAACATCTGACCCATAAAATCGTTACGATAGGTAGATTCATTAAAATATATTATTTATAGACATTCTCTGCGGCTTTTATACTATTATTGATATAAAATATTTTTTCGGATGTCAGAAAGAATTTTTTCTTATCATTTGATTTTTATCGTCTACATTGATAAATAACACATAGAATTATGTTTGCTAAGAGTCTCTAGAGACACACTTGAGTGCACAGTCCGTGTGAACAACGTATAGATAGACTATAATGAAAATAATATAAAAAGAAATGCATTTATGTGCACATTATGGAAGATCTCATTAGGATTAGTAGAAGAAAAGAATTATTCGCCTTTGAACTACAAATATATTCCATAGAGTGATGGACAAAAGATTTTAGTTATATTTCTATTATGGATCTGAATGATAAGAATAAGAATTTTCGAAAAATTTTTGCGACTTATGACTCATATCAAAGAATATTTATCCTATAGATACGATGAATTATCATCTGATCCTGACTATAGACAAATGTTAGAGAGAGAGAGAGAGATTTTAATCTCGAAGAAAAGGAAGAAGCAAAAAAAAAACCAGCAATAATAAGAAAACTGTCAAGATTATTGATTATAAAAAGAAAAGAAATTTTTTCTAAATACATTAAAATACAAGCCAATGAAGACATTTTTGTCGAGTAACACTGCTGACACATTGTCATCTTTGTCTAGTTTGAAGAAAACAAACATATTATTGCTAATTGACTAACTTGTTACCATCTCAATAGATGACACTATGTTACCACTAACAAGTTCAGTTATCATCTTTAAATTCATTAAGCTTCTTGTTTTCTGTCCTATATACTTCATCATCTTGTGTCTCTGATTTTTCTCGCTTTTTTCCACATCAAATTCTATTAGTGTTCACTTCGATCAGATCAACATGTTTTACAAAAATAAACATCGCCTTAGCTATCATGCTTATTCAAAGATTTCGAACAGGAAATATCTAACATGATTTAGGTCAGAGTCTTAAATAACTAATTTTTTTTTTTTTGACATATGTAACCAATGTTGGTATAAGAGTATCTAATAGTACTATGAATATGAATTTGCTGTAGATATATTTTAAAAAATAATTTCCAAGAAAAGAAAGAATCAATTAATTAATATGATTTTAGTAGAATAATATAATTTTGACAAGAAGTAAATAATACGATATGTTAACACAATCATACTTTTTCGTAAATATCGGGTCGTCCTACAGTTGAATGTATAACTGAATACGGCAATATTATGATATTTTTACCACTTTGTACAATGAATATACGGTTAGTAATAATAGGCGTGTTATAATGACACCATAAAACATAAAAACGATCGTTTGTGGTAATTGATAGTGATCCGTAACATTTGACATGGTGAGAAAAAAAATATTAATAAAATTGCACATGATCTTCGAAGGATGAATATATTTTGAGGATTTAGTGTTCTGAGAGATTGAATTATTTGCTGCGTAATTAGTTATTTCTTTTAGAATGATCAAAATTATTGATGAAAAACTTGTTTGTCAAATATTAAATTTCTTCAATACAACCAAGAGAAACAGAAAAATCGAGTTTGAGAAGAGGTAATTGATCATGATAGATCGAAATCGAGTATTTTATATTCTGTTTGACAATTGTTTTTAAATAAAATATCAATATTTTCAAAACTTCTTTATTACAGTGATGATTATCAAGACAAAATTAAGATTCTATGCTCAAATATTAATTCGATCAGACTATTTGTTTGACAAAATCTTACAAAAGTATTAATTAAAACTATTCAATATGAACAATTTCGAATAATTGAAATAGATCTTTCGTATTAACATATGGAAATTTAAATTATGTTTTTCATTGAAAACTTTTTCACTTATGTAATTGATTCTTAATCACAAAAATTACTCTAGCTAGTTGTGAAAAATAATCTTTATGAAGTTTTCTCAGAATTTAATCAACTTCATGTCACATTATTTTTCTCTTTTTATAGTAAATATTCAATGTCACAGCAAGTAGCCTGAGCGTGCCGGAAGAAATTATCAGAGATGTGCTCCGTTCAATGTTCGCTACTTCAATTTACGATTATACAGATAATAATAGAAAACATTTGTTTAGAGTCTGATCTTTTTTATTGGATGAAATTGAAAAAGAATTTCCTTGATCGAGAAATACTTTTTTTTTTACTTTTTCAATTATAATCTATCTTGAAGTTTACTATAAGGTCAATATTTGATGTCAACTAGCGCCCACTATTTTACTATTGTATAATTAAATACAATATACATTCTTACCTTTGAATACATCTCTCCGAAAATTTATTTTAGATTCATTTGCTAATAATCCATCAATTTACATGATAAATTGAGTAATATATATTATTTATTTTATATAATATTTTATGATCGGCTAAACTTTAACCAATAGAAAAAAGAAAACAAAACTAAATTTTGAAACATCATATCAACAAAGTAAAGAAAATTATTTCTTTGACTATATTACAAAATATCTAATCAATTATTAGTTGATTCAAAAACAAAAAATGGCAGACACTTTTAAAATTCCATCTATTCCATTAGAAGAATCAAAATCAGATGATAATACAACAGTATCAACAAATGAAAATCAAGAAAGTTCACATATACCATTTATCAAACCAGAATTACCACCTGTCAATTTTTCAATACCAATTCGTCATAAAAATTTACAATATACTATACCTGAATCATCAACTATTCCACCAATAGAATATACACTTGAAGTATTACGTAATGGTTCAATTATTGATTATATATCACTTTCTCATCGTTCATATACTGTTTTTGGTCGTTCACCTGATAGTGATGTTGTACTTGAACATCCAACTATTTCACGTTATCATGCTATTATACAATATAAATCAGAATTTGAACATGGTCAACCAGCTGGTCTCTATTTATATGATTGTGGTAGTACACATGGTACATTTATGAATAAAAAACGTCTTGAACCAAAAGTATATGTACGAATTAAAATTGGTTATATTATTAAATTTGGACAATCAACAAGACTTTATCTTATTCAAGGTGATACATCAGCTGAAGCTGAAACTATTGATAATTCTACTGGTGATGATTTAACACATGAACAAATGAAACAATTTCATGCTAAACGAGCAAAAATGCTTGCTGCTGTACGTGCTAAACGAGAAAATGCTGCTAATGAAGTTAATGATAATAATAATATTGAAATGGATTGGGGTATGGGATTAGAAACTGATGAATTAGCTGCTGCTGCTGCTGCCAATGTTTCAACAAAAGAATTAACTCATGAAACAGATATGATTCGAAATGAAGAAGAAAATAAAAAACGAGCAGCTGTTGAAGATCTTAAAAATCGTCTTGAATATCAACAAACTAAAAATGATAAAGTTATACTTAAAGAAATAATGTCACATGTAAGTTCATAAATAAAAAAACTTCTTTCATTATCTATTTTCTATTATATAGGTTGATGAATCTTCAATAGATGATGATGATAATGATACGAAAAAAGAACCATTCTATCTTAAAGATCCAAAACGTATATTAACAACATTTTTTGAACGTGAAGGTGCTGAATTAATTTATGATGTTGAAGATCATCAATTTGGTTCATATCGTTGTACAATTAAATTACCTATTATTGATGAATATGGTCATTCTATACAAGCTGAATGTGAACAAAAACATTGTAAACGTAAAGAAATAATACATGAATGTATTCTTGAAGCATGTCGTATACTTGATGAACATGGTATTTTACGTGAAGGTACATCAGCATCATCATTAAATACACCACGTATACAACAAATAAAACGACAATTACTTGAAGAAAATGATTTTTATGAAGAAGATGAAGATACATATTATGATCGTACAGGTGATTTAGAAAAAAAACGTCTTAAACGTATGGAATGGTCTGGTCATATAAATAATGATAAACAAATTGAAACATTTGATTCACTTTGTATTAAATTAATAAATCTTTATAAAGAACAAATTGATCTTGAATATAAATTAGAAAAAGCTAAACAAATAGAAGAAAATTCAACTAAAAATTTAACTAATCTTGATAAAGATATTGATGAAATTGATTTATATATACGTCAATTAAAACAAGGTGAAAAATTAAATATGAAAACTAAATGGCAATGGAAAAAACGTTTATTAGAAATTGATAATGAAGAAAGACAATTTATTAAATTACTTAAAATATGTAAATCAAAAGAATTTGATATTCAATCATGGAAAAAAAAAATACGTGAAGAAGCTAAACAAAATTTAATTACAACATCATCAATAATTCCATCATCACAATTACCTCATCTTCCAAAACCTACAATTCAAATAGAACAAATGCCACCACCACCACCACCACCACCATCTGTATCATCAGAACCAGAACATATTGAACCTGTAATAGAAAAAAATCTTGATATTAATCCTACTCCTGTAAAACAAACAACAAAACGTCGAAAATCTGAACATTCATCTGTTAATTCTAAAGATCAATATGATGATAGTGATCATTATTCTGAAGATAAATTTGCTGAATGGATGCCACCTGAAAATGAACAAACAGGTGATGGAAGAACAGCATTAAATGATAAATATGGTTATTAAATAAATAATGAATTATTTATTTTTGTTTCGATTTGTAAATAAATAAAAACAAAAAACATCTGTTTTGAAAATTGTCTTATGAAGTTACGAATAAGGAGTATTTTCGACAGTTTTTTATTTATTCAATTCATGTTTCTGATTCAGTTCTACATCAAGTCATTTTCGATATAAATTTCTACACTCAACTTATATAAATCTATCAATCTAGACTAAGAAATCCAGGTCGAAACACTAGGAACGCAGTGATATGATTCGGTAGCAGTCTCTATCCGATTAAGATCAGAACTACAAAAGTTCATTCATCGAATTTCTACTATTCTTCTGATGAAAAATCACAGATCCGAATACTCGAATCATTGACCACCTAGAAAATTGATGAATCAAGAAACAAATGCTTGACCATGTATAAGTCTCATGACTCAACTGCTTCTGATATAAGTATACAGATTGACAATTTTATTTTATAGAAAAAATTTTCGAATACTTTCTTTGTATAAATAGTTCAAATATTAATATTAAAATTAAACCAGACACTGAAAATAATCTTCAGAAGAAACAATCTTTAAGCAATGTATAATTTTGTTTTTTTTAGTGTTCGAGAGAATGAGTCATGTTTGATGATGTAACTTCGTCCGACATTCAGGAGTACACGTTATGATATTCATATAGAATGATTATGTGATAAATATGTGCAGGTTTATCTCATCCTTTTTTTCTCAGTCAGGATATACACTATGAAAAAAAGTTTACCCTGGACAACCTTATTTTGAAAAAAGTATGATATTGATTTAACAATTTGATAACAGCTAATTATTCAGCTATTCATCGAGATATGCTTGTAAGAAAAATTCGTATGTCTATCTTTACGTTGTTCACAATTAGAACATATTACATCTAATTCTATCTCATAACAGAAGTTGATTTTTATCGTGCACACATTTCTATCTTGTTGTATTCTATCGAGAGTAATAAAACAAGATGAAAACATTGCTTATATAACAGATAATTAGTTGTAGATACTTCAGGTGTCTTGTACTACCTCTAAGTTCTTTTAACCATTTCAACCTCTTAAACATTCCTACTTGTATGACGTCAATACTTTCATTATTGACTCTATGACTAATCTAACCAGATGAAAGAAGCCGAAATAAGTTATTCATCAGTATGAATATAATCCATTTCAATTATTAAAATCAACAAAAATAATATTTAGAATAACTGGTAATAATTCTTAAATTATGTATTCAACAATAGATCATCGTTAATATTGTACTCAAAATTTATAGACAGACAAAAGATAACGATATTTTTACACTTAAATGACAAAGTTCTTTTTCTTTTCTTGAACCGAATGTTTTGTATTTTGATGACAAACAACAAAAAAAAAAGAAAAAAAATTTTTGTTGTCTGTTGAATAAATATTTTGTGTTTTATTTTTTTTTTGACATATTGCGCATCGCACTACATTTTTAGTGCTTATCTATAAAACTAAATCAATATTACAAAAAAAAAAGAACTATTCATCGTTGTCATTAAATTTTTGATCAAAAACATATTTAATAAGCCAATCAGCACATTTAACAGTTGATTTTTGTATATATTCTTCAAATTCTTCATCTATAATAGGAACATTTTCATCATCTTCTTCACTTTCATATAAATGAACAATATTTTCATTTATATTATTCTTTGATTGTTTTAAATAATCTTTATTTGATATACGTAATGGTGGAATATGTGATATTGGAATTGAAGATTTACCTTTTGATGTTCGTTGATAATATGCTTTTGGTATAGATGATTTTGTTTTTGGTAAAGATTTATGTCGTGGTTCAATAAACATAGAAGAATTTAATTGTTCAATTAATGGTGGATATGTTATTGTTTGTGTACGATTTAAACGTTGATATATATCAGGCATATGACCATTTGGTGATTTATTTCTTGGTAATCCAAGAGTTGTTGATGATATTGTTGGTGAATTTATTTGATATTGTTTCATAAATCCATTTGGTGAATTATAACTAGGCCAAATTAATGAATGTTGATTTGTATTTGATATTGAAGATAAAACAGATGGACGTGAATTATGACGATTTGTTATACGACCAAGACGTAAATCTTTACTTCGTTCAAGTAATTTATGTGGTGAAAGATTTGAAGAATTTGTTGAAGTACCACCAACATTACTAAGATTTAATGGACGAATATCAGTAAAATCATAATAAGATTGAAGAGTTATACGAGATTTTCGTGTTTGAATAGCTCTTATTTTATTATTAACAGCTGTTGGAGAAGCACTAGTATACATATTTGAATGTGTACCATTTAGTATATTATGATGATGATTAATTGGATAGGCAATTGTTTCCGATGATACGTTCATTGGATATCTGAATAAGAGATCAACCATATTATGTAATTTGTATGTAAAACTTTTCTTTTTTTTAAATTTCAAGAGAAAAAGTTTTTTTTTACTCTAATGGATTATTTTATTCTTGTATTTATAGTTTAAAAAAAAATTGCAGCATGAATTAACGAAAGTTATTTTAACCGATGAATCGTATTTTTAATTATTCAGTAAACTAACAGCTTTTAACCTCTTGAAAATTTACATTACCGATACTCTCTTCATGATAATGTAGTAACAGGCGTCAGCTAATTGACATTGCTGACGATGTTAAGTGGCATACACTATGCGCCTAACGAACTTTACAATGATTGATGATCTATAAACAGGTTTTCTAATACTATTTGTGATACAAAGACGAACTACTATGTATTATATAGCTTTTTTTTCTTTGACCAATGCCCTCTTTGAGTACTATGATGAAATTTGGTTTTTTTTTCTTTATCTCAATATTATGCTTCTTTTGCCTTATCACGTCATTTTGTCATAGATAAATAATTTATCATCTGTATAGACAGGTCTAAACTTCTTTATTTTACTTACAACAACTACTTACAATATTTATTGATTAATAATAAAATTCAAATATGTAGATAATTCTATTGGTATTTAAATAATAAAAAATAAAATAAAATGTAAAATAAGTACTGTTTTTGAATTATGTACTAAGAAGTAATAGAATGATTTCTTTGTCTTTTTCTTTTTCAATTGTTTTGTTTTTTATTACTGATTGCGCTTGCGAAATAGTACTTTTTTTTTTACATAGATTGCTATACATTTATTTATTTTTAATTTTTATGTTGTTAGAAAAAAGAATTGTTCTATGTTTGTATAGGTTAAAAATAGCTTATATAATAAAATAATAATTAAAATAATATGAATGATATTACTATGTATGAACATACAAATTTAACATTTACTAAATATATTAATGATTAAATTTCAACATAGAATGACCTGTAGAAAGAATAAATTCATATTCCGTTTTTTTTTTATGTTTGTGTCAAGTAGTTCGCTCTTAACAAACATAGATCAACAGTAACATAAAAAAATTATCATAACTATTCATACGTACAAGCTACAATATTAAGTCAATAATAATTTATTATTATCATTAGTTTTTCTTACGCAAAAATATCTAATGAAGGTTAATGTTTAATCTTGCAATGTCTAGACACTAATTTGTTTTCTTTCATTAAAGAAATTCTAGAAAAATCCTTCATTATTAATAGAATTCTATCGTAGTTAATGTTAAAAATAAGAAATTTGTCACATAGTAGTCAGTTTTAAGGAGTCATCTTATTAATAATAGACGCATTGATTTGCATAGATTCAAGTAGTATGGAAATTTTTCCTTTTTTTTATTTTTTTAACATCACATAATGAATTCATAACCTTGAAAGATCAATATACAAAAGATTGATTGTAATCTTATATGAACATATGAAACATGCAAAAAGAAAACTAGAATTTAAATATTAAAATGTTTTATCATTGATACATTTGTTCTAATCGAATATCTAAATAAGAATGTAAATAGATGACTACATAGAATAACCTTGTTATTTACTGGATTCTTTCCTTTTTCTTTTTGTGTTTCTGGTACGTCTTTTCATTTTCATTTGTCTTTTATCATTATTTAATTGTTTATTATTTTAATTCTTTTTTGTCAAAAAGAATCTTCGTACTATTTGATACACATATTAATTTGTTAACTTTAACTAAAAGAATAATTAGTCTTGCTTTTCTTTTTTTTGTTTTCTAAGTTATGCTAAGAATTCTTTATGTCAAAAATAGACTTTCTAGTTTATTTAATAATGCAACAAAAAAAAAGAAAAATCTATGATTTCGCCTTCAATTTAATTTTCTAATTCTTTTCATTCAAGTGTATATGTAAAATTTAGAATTGTATCTTTCATTTTTTGTTTTTTCTTCATCGAACAAAAAAACCACTTGAAAGAAAAAAAATCTATTATTTAAATAATCAAAGAAAAACTTTAAAACTTACTATATTTAGAATAAAATTTATCAAAGTTTTTTAGTAGACCATTTATAATATGAACTGAAATAATCCTTCTCTGAATTTAACGTCAATAGAATCAAATGTAAATGACAAAGAAAGTAAAGGAAAGAGAGCTTACTGATTTGAATCGGCATCGACATCGACAAAGCAAATAAAATATAACTCTTTTTTCTTTTTTTTTTTTTTTCTTCTTCTTTTCTCATCATGTAAGCATACAAAAAAGAACAAGATCGCATCATTGTATTTATTATGTCCACAAATACTTTTAGTATAATTTGCTTCGGAAACATATAAATCAATATTTAAATAATTTTTAGAACAAAATACTAAATTTTATCAAGACAAACAAAATCAAATATGTAGTACATCATGACATATACAAATGATATATAATATCAAGAGAAAAGGACATTAGATATTTGATCGTTATTTTTTTGTATTCAATAATTAAATACATTAGTTAATTTTTAAAATTAACACGTTTGAAATTATCTATTATTGTTTAATATTGAAGGTGTAAAGATTTTTTTTCTTTTAATAATCAATCGATATTTTATATTAACTCTAGTTGAATTTCGAGTGCTTTTTTTCAACGAAAATAAAAAAATATAGTTCTCATTAAAATTTAATTTAAAAATAAAATCGATGAATAGATAGACAAGAAAAAAAAACAGAAACCATAAGAAGAAGCCAAACACATTAAAACAATTTTTTCTTTTTTTCTATTGTCCTTTTGGTTGAAATACTTTTTTTTGAACTCTTAAAAATTCTTACCGATCGTATTTGAATCACTTTTTTTTCAGAAACTCATTTTCTTTAAATTATCTTTGAGATTTTATTCAAACAAAAAATGTTTATTGATATTGTGAACAAGTTGTTGTTTTTTTCTTCATGGGTGTAGAATATAAATAAAAGACCTGTTGCGAGTATTAAACAAGCTAATCGACACTTGATTAGTCCTTTTTTTTTTTCTAACATATTTTAACTTTCTTTTTACATTTTTTTTGTAAAATATTTAAGGTTTTCTTTTTTTTTTTTTTTTTCAAAGAACAATCTTTCATTTAAAAACTTTTTGCATACATTTTATTGATAATTGTATTTCATTCATCTAAATTTTCGTTTTTATTCTTTTCCTATTGTTCTTTCTTCTAAATAAATTTGTGTTGTATATCAAGCATCTTAATAAATATAATTACCGAAGGTGATAATCAGTTATCCTTGCAGTTTATTGTTACATAAATCTATTGCGGCAAGCGAAAAAACTCCATACTTGAAAATCATACTTTGTTCTGATTTTCATTTGACGTATTGAATAAAATTTTTTGATTTACAATATTAAAATTAAATAATCTCAAAGAATACAACACAAAAGCAATTCTTTAAAAATTTCGTTCAAAAAAAAAATCAACAAGTATAAAAGCATTCTCTTATTATTTTGTTGATCACTGCTTAAAATGCTCTCATTTTTAACTATGCATACATTTGTAAGCGTGTTACATGATGTATTTTCGTGTTTTTTTTGTCTGCTTTGTAATTTGTCTCTATCAAAAGTTACATCTACTACCGATTAAATTTTACAAAATAATAAGCAAACAATTCCTACTTTAACCTACAATTTCAGAAAACAAATTGGAATGTTGAAGTTCTGTTTCAAAAAGTTTTCGATTATCAAAAAAATGGAATTTTTTTTTTAAAATTTCTCAACAGAAAAATTGATTTTCAGTTCAGATTTCTCTTGTGAGATGAAATTTTTTGTTCCATATCAGAGATGGACAAAATCGCACCGCGCTTCCCCGCGCTACTGCTCGCGCCTAGGCGCTACGCACATCTCTCTTTCTCTTTGCTCTACCAATCAGTTTCTCAAACTCCACCGAATACCGGGATGCTCTAAGCATGCGCTCATCGAAGCTCAGACTAGTGTAGCGTAGGCGTGAGCAACGGCACGAGGAGGCGCGGTACGACTTTGTCCATCTCTGTTCCACATATCGTGTTCTAGACTAATATTTTAGTAAAATGTCTGTAATTCTAAAAAAAAGACTTAGAAACTATTATATTTTTTCAAGTTGGAAAGCTTTCCTCGAAAGTGTTTGATGTTCATATGACAATTTGTTTTTTTTTCAATCCCATGGAATTTATTTTAATGAGTCCAAGAATTCATCTAGAACAATAATTTTGTTCATTGGTATACAAATACATATAACAATCAGATTGAATACATCAACAAAAGAAGAAATCAAAGGATGTTTAATAACATATGATACGGACAACAAACAAAACAAAAAAATTCATAGTTGGTTTTAGTTATTCAGATTTATTGTTTAGATTGGTTGAATCTTGAAATGTAAACCAATAAGTGAAAAAACAAAACATTTTAAATCTTGTACCAAATAATAAAAACAACGTAAACCATCTGGATCACGACTATTATTTATATCAATTAATGAACCAATTTTTGATGTTGTAAATGAAATATGTTCATCACCAAGAACTATTTCAAGTTCTTGACGACCAGTACGATCTTGTGGTGGCCTGAAAAGAAAACAAAAAGTAACTCTAAAACTTGATTAACAATTCATTTTTATACATACCAAACAGCATCATCTTCTTTCATTATATCAGATTCATTAACAATTCTTTTAAGTTCTTCAATAACAGCACGATTAACATAAACTTCTTTTCGAATTAATGTATCTTTTTTATAATTTGAATTATTTGCATAACGTAATTTACCATCAGGACGAAATTCAAATTCAAGAAATTCATGTCCAAATTTACCTTTATGACCTACATAATAACGTAAATAGAAATCATCATTTGATTCACTCATAATTTTATTATTGATCTAAAATAAATCAATTGTTATTCAAACTAACATACAATAGCATAATTGCTAAATATAATGATTCATTTCTTCTTTATGTTATTTTCAAACCAATCAAATAAATTTGTCAAATATTTAAATAATCTAAATTTATTATTCAAATAAAGTTCTATTATCAAGTTTTTTACTAATATGAAGTAGAAAAAACTAATATAAGAGTTTTTGTCTATGAAAATGATATTGAATACTAGTGACATCTATAAATTCGAAAGTATGAATTACCAAGGTCGATCATTCCGACCATCGGAAACGGTGAATTACTGCTTTAGTTTTGACCTTATTTCGCCGTAATCCGTGATACCGTTTGACGAGCCGTTTTTTCCAGGTTTTGCTTCCACAATCTGGTATGACGGATTACGGTGCTGTTTTACATCGTTATTACGCCGTTTTATTGGATCTGGGTAGTTTCATAGTAGAATATCAAGAAAACTTAAAAATTTATTATGAACAACAAAAATGCTTATAAACGTATGAACTCGTACAATACGAAATAATAATAATATTTCACCATATGTCATATCTTATTCAATAATTTTTGAAACCAAAGCTATTCATTACAAAAGTTTATTCGTTTTAAAAATTTCTAATAAGTTATACATGAATCATCATATACTAGTGTCATCTATATTCATCAATAAAAAAAATTATTATTATATGAATGAATAAACCAACCTTCATTGACTATTTCTCATTTATTGTCATAGAATCAACAATAATATTAGTAGAATTTTTTTTTGGTAACTATCGATTATTAAAAACAAATGAATGTTTTTTGTTCTCTATTCACCTCTACAAAACTCTTACGTGTACAATACATATATCTATCCATAGATGTAAACTGATTACATAGTATTATTCAACTTCTGAATCATAACGGTCTAGTCAACGTTTTCTTAACTATAGAAAATTTCGAAATATATCCAAATGAAGAATATTCTCGACGAAGCAGTGCATAAATAAAATAAAAAAATAAAGATTCTTTTCATTTTCTTTCTTTCTTAATGCTCTGGAAGAATCTGATAGGTTAAATAAAAATATTCTTATATGAATCACATATAGTTAGGTTCAGTCTATAAATTCATTTGTATCTTGCATTATATATTTATATTTATTATACATATGAATAGTTGTTGTTCGACAATGTCCAAAATATATAAAAGAGGTAATACAAAATAAGAATACAAAAAATTTAAATTGCCAAAAAAAAAAAAATGTTTTATGAAATAAAACAATATAATAACAAACATAAGAAAAAAAAAGACTTTTAATTTTAGATGACAACAACCGATCAAGCCAAAACTGCTCTTCTACAATTTCCATATGCATCTATTCAATTTATAGCAGATTCCAATCAATGTCAACATTTACCTGATGAATGTATTAAATATTTAACATTAGAAGCAACTGGTGTTGTTCGATTTTTATTACAAGTCAATTAAGACAAATAAAAAAAAAACGAAAGAATATTTGTTTGTTTGTTTTACTAATTTTTTAGGATGCACTGAAATTTACAAGAAAATGTCGTCGAACAAAAATGATTACAGAAGATTTTGAATCAGCAATGAAAATGCGATATTTAGAAGTAAAAATTAAATGAATAACAAAAAATTGAAAGAAAATTTTTTTTTATTTTTTTCTTCTAAATAATAAAGCCAATTGTTGGTTTTCGTTTATCAAATGGTAATTTACCATTTAAAACAACAACAGCAGCTGGTTCAAGTCATAGAGAAGTTCAATGTATTGATGATCATGAATTACAACTTGATCAAGTTATTACTGCACCATTACCAAAAGTACCTTTAGATATTTCTATACGAAGTAAATTAAATCTTGTTTTGCCAATTTAAAATAATTTTTTTTTTCTACTATTTTTAAGCTCATTGGCTTGCTATTGAAGGTAAACAACCAACAATAAATGAAAATCCAGAAATTATTTCCAAAGCTGATCTAACTGCTGATTCATTAGATCCTGTAAGTGTATGTTTTTTTGAAGATTTTATTTTATTCATCTATTAATTCTAGATGAAATCATTAACAAAAAAACGATATAATCTTGATGCATCTAAAATTAAAACTTCAAATCCACATGAACTTTCATTGGTAAGATACTAAGTATTCATTCTCTTAAGTTTTCAACTATGCAGATGATATAGATCCTAAAAATGAGTTCGCTGCAGCAATGGCGTATTCGAATGAAGTTATCATTATTGTAATTAGGAATAGGAACAGCAAAAAAAAGATCTGTAACTTTCACAAAATGTAATTCTTAGTACGATCTGTTTCTGTGCAAAGTTTCAGGTCGGAAATGATGTACCTGAGGGGAATTACGGCATTCGTTTTAAAAGTATAGTATCTTCGTAACAATCAGTAAGCGATCTGAACATAGTTTCAATTGAAAAGCGATTGATTAGTTGGTGCTCTTATCTCGTTAGCGGGAATAATTGGCTATGAAAGTTTCACTGTTTTTGATTTTAACAAACTGCTATAGAAAAAAGCAAACTTTAATAATAAACTATTCTTGTTAAAGTGTTTATCTTTGTGCAAAATTAATTTTCTTGATGTGCTTATGAGAAGCGTCGTTCTTATCTTGAATATAAACCTTTACTGAAAATATATTTTTAACAAACAAAATGAATTTCTTTTTCTTTTAGGAACAACAAATTTATTATAAAGAAATAACTGAAGCATGTGTCGGATCTGAAGAACAAAAACGTACAGTATGTTATCATAATATATTATTCTATTCTTTTATGTTAATTATCATATATTTAATATTTTAGGAAGCTATTGCTAGTTTATCAACTGAAACTGGTCTTCATCAAATTTTACCTCGTATTGTTTTATTTATATCTGAAGGTGTTAAAATAAATTTAATGCAATATAATCTCGCAATATTAATCTATTTAATGCGTATGACAAGTGCATTATTAGATAATAAATCTTTATATTGTGAAAAATATGTAAAATAGAAATCGAAAAAAGAATTTTTAATATTAAATCTTTTATTTTTTAGCTTCATCAATTATTTCCAGCTATAATGTCATGTATTTTAGCAAAACAACTTTGTGCTAGACCCGATACAGATAATCATTGGGCATTACGTGATTATGCTGCATCACGTTGTGCACAAATGGTCAAGTAAAATATTTTATTTAATATTTTTAGAAAATATTATATTTAATATATTGTTTTTTGTTTTGATTAGAATGTTTTCAGCTAATATTCATGGTTTACGTAATCGTATTGTACGAATTTTTTTACGTACATTTCATAGTGAACGTTTACCACTTGTTACACATTATGGTGCACTTGTTGGTTTATGTGAAATGGGTCAAGAAGTAAATATATCATCAGAGAAAAACAATAAATTGAAAAATTTTTTTTTTGTATAGACAATTGAAGAATTAGTATTTCCTATAATACGTACGTTAGGTGAACGAATTATAAAATATCTTGAAAATCCTTCATTATCTTCTATTGATAAAATAACAATTGATCGTATTAGTGGTGTTATATCTGTAAGATACATTAGATAATTTTGTGATTTTTATTATTGAATTTTATAATTAATAGAAATATATTCCAATTGCATATCGTGCATCACGACCAGCACCAGATGATCTTGAACATTTTAAACATGAATTTGGTAGTTATTATGGACATCGTTTATATACACATGTTATTCAACTTCGTCAACAATCAAGATCAACATCATCACAATCTACACAAGTAAGTAAATTATAAAAAAAATAAAATATGATAATAAGACATAGTTAATTGATGATTATTTAATAATGAGTAGAGAAATATATAAGATAAATAAAATTGAAATTGTAACGATTAAGAAAAAATTACTATTCATTCTTAACAATGAGGCTAGATAATAATACAATTGTTCGATTAGTCAACGAATATTAATCATAATCCAAATCCGGGATATATTTGATATTGTTATAATAATCGAATCATTTGCATAGAACGATTTAATTCAATGTTATTTACAAATACTTCACTCGATTTTCATTAGAGCTTACAAATTTTCTAAAGCTTCTTCATTAGTTATTTATTAACAATAGAGCTCGTTGGATTAACATCGAACTCGATAGACTGTAGTCATTTTGCAAAAGTTGTAGAGTGCGCTAGTAATCGCGTAGAAAACAATTAGAAACAAAAGTATTTCAAATCCGATCAGAAAGATTCATTGAGAATATAAAACGATGGTTAAATCTGTTCCAAAGGTTTTGGAGCCGATAGGTTCTGATAAATAACGATCTACTGCTATTATGCCTCGTCCAATTATCATTCAGAAACGTTCATTGATTCTACCTCGGATTATTTGACAAATATTTACCAGCTCTCGTTATGTTAAGTAATTATTGAATATCAAACATTATTATCGTTGAAAAAATTCAATCAATAAAAATATAACTAAATTCAGATGAAATATTTAGTGCAGTAGAGCGTCTATAATAAGGATCTCTTGTAACTTCGTCTGATCGGAATGAACAATTTTTTTAAATATATCTTAGACTATAACTTAAAGATAATTGTAAACTTTCAAAAATCTGATCGAGGTGCTGTCTATAAGACTGAAAAAAGAAAAACGCAATTATTACGCATGATTTTCCTTATGTTAATCGTATTAAAACATTTACGATCTTGATTACGGTACATATTGATTCTATTCAATACATTTGACAGTTAATATTCAATAAATATAATAGCAAGATATGCTATTTGAAACAGTTACTTACAAATGATTTCAATAATCAAGTAACTTATGAAGAGCATTCTATGTCGAGTATAATATAAATCATAGAATGGAGATCATATTGATGCTAAGAATAAACAAAAATTAACTAATACAAGTCAAACAGTTCATTTGTATATAATTGATCTAAAATGAATAAGAATTTTTATGACAAAATAATAATTGTTAATAAAATAAAGACTAGATTTTTTATTTAAAAATAAGAAAGAAAACATTTGTTTTTTTTTATTTTTGTTAATTATGATATATCTAGGGATCATTGCGTGCAAACTATTAATATCTATTCTTTTATTCTAAGTCAGATAGAATATTATCTATTCTTATTGATTGATTCTAGAATATTTTCCTAACAATAGAATATACTAGGAAATTGTATTATTCTATATTGATAGTATGTTAAAAAGAGAAATTTTATCAGTAGTAATCACGTGAAACTTTTTCTTTTAGCATTTAAATTAATAAAATCATAGTTTTAAAGTAACACATATAAACTAAATATAATATATTTTTTGTTTGTTTTAATATCATAGAATCGACAATTTTCTCCATCATCTGGTTCAAATTCTCGTCCATCAAAAATATTACCTGGACAAGCATCACCATCATCACATCATCAAAATCCAGGTTCCGTAACTCCATCACGATCTCCTGTTCGTCCAATGAATCCATCATTATCAAAACAACATCCTCAATCATCAACTAGTTCATTAACACCAGCAAATAGTCATGAAAATGTTATTTTATAAAAAAAAAAAAAAATATTTAGGATAATATTTGTTTCTTTGTTTATACGAGATATTCCTACCGTGTGTGTTTTTTTTTCTTCTTCTTTTCATTTTTGTCTATATGAACTCTCTCTATATATATTTATAGATCTAATCTTTAGATTAATTCTTTTATTTTTTTGTTATTGAATTTCAATACAAAATGGCTAAACCAATTGATCCAAATAAAGAAGATAAATATGCAACAGCTATATTAAATCGAAAAGAACGTCCTAATCGTTTAATTATTGATGATGCTATTAATGATGATAATAGTGTTGTAGCATTATCACAATTAAAAATGGATGAATTACAATTATTTCGTGGTGATACGGTTTTACTTAAAGGTAAAAAACGTCGTGAAACAATATGTATTGTACTTGCTGATGATACATGTCAAAATGATCGTATTAGAATGAATCGTGTTGTACGTAATAATTTACGTGTACGTTCAGGTGATATTGTATCAATACAAGGTTGTCAAGATGTTAAATATGGTAAACGTATACATGTTTTACCAATTGATGATACAGTTGAAGGAATAACAGGAAATTTATTTGAAGTTTATTTAAAACCATATTTTGTTGAAGCCTATAGACCTGTACGTAAAGGTGATGTATTTATTGTACGTGCAGCAATGCGTGCTGTTGAATTTAAAGTTATTGAAACTGAACCAAGTCCATATTGTATTGTTGCACCTGATACAGTTATACATTGTGAAGGTGATCCAATAAAACGTGAAGAAGAAGAAGCATCATTAAATGAAATTGGTTATGATGATATTGGTGGTGTTAGAAAACAATTAGCACAAATAAAAGAAATGGTTGAATTACCATTACGACATCCACAATTATTTAAAACAATTGGTGTTAAACCACCAAGAGGTATACTTCTTTATGGACCACCAGGCACCGGTATGATTTTTAAAAAAAGAGAATAAAAATTTAATTTTTGAAATTTTATATAATTTTAGGTAAAACATTAATTGCACGTGCTGTTGCTAATGAAACAGGTGCATTCTTCTTTTTAATTAATGGACCAGAAATTATGTCAAAATTAGCTGGTGAATCTGAATCAAATTTACGTAAAGCTTTTGAAGAAGCTGAAAAAGTAAAATAATTATTTTTCATATATATAAAAAAAAAATTTTTTTTTGTTTAGAATTCTCCAGCTATTATTTTTATTGATGAACTTGATGCCATAGCACCAAAACGTGAAAAAACACATGGTGAAGTTGAACGTCGTATTGTATCACAATTATTAACATTAATGGATGGTCTTAAACAACGTTCACATGTTATTGTTATGGCTGCAACAAATCGACCTAATTCAGTTGATCCAGCATTACGTCGTTTTGGTCGTTTTGATCGTGAAGTTGATATTGGTATACCGGATGCTGTTGGCCGTTTAGAAATACTTCGTATACATACAAAAAATATGAAATTAGGTGATGATGTTGATTTAGTACAAATTGGAAATGAAACACATGGTTATGTTGGTGCTGATTTAGCATCATTATGTTCAGAAGCTGCATTACAACAAATACGTGAAAAAATGGATGTTATTGATTTAGAAGAAGATACAATTGATGCTGAAGTACTTGATTCATTAGCTGTAACACAAGATAATTTTCGTTTTGCACTTAATCAATCAAATCCATCAGCATTACGTGAAACAGTTGTTGAAGTACCAACAACAACATGGGAAGATATTGGTGGTTTAGAAAATGTTAAACGTGAATTACAAGAACTTGTACAATATCCTGTTGAACATCCAGAAAAATTTCTTAAATTTGGTATGACACCATCACGTGGTGTACTTTTTTATGGTCCACCGGGTTGTGGTAAGTTAATTTATATTTTGTTTCATTGTTAATATGTTTTTTTTTTAAGGTAAAACTTTATTAGCCAAAGCTATTGCTAATGAATGTCAAGCAAATTTTATTTCGGTTAAAGGTCCTGAATTATTAACTATGTGGTTTGGTGAATCAGAAGCTAATGTACGTGATGTATTTGATAAAGCTCGTCAAGCAGCACCATGTGTATTATTTTTTGATGAATTAGATTCAATTGGTAAGATAAAAATATTTATAAACAAATAATGATACGAGACATGTTTTTTTTAGCTAAAGCTCGTGGTGGTAGTGCTGGTGATGGTGGTGGTGCAGCTGATCGTGTTATTAATCAAATTTTAACTGAAATGGATGGTATGGGTGCAAAGAAAAATGTTTTTATTATTGGTGCAACGAATCGACCAGATATTATTGATTCGGCTATTCTTCGACCAGGTAAAAAACAAAAAGCATACGAAAAGTATAGGAACTGAAAAAACAATATATTAGTTTTTGAAGAGTATTATTTTAAAGAACATAACATTATGCCGCATTCGTTGAATCGATTTATCAAATACTTTTTTTAATATACTCTTCGTTTATTCAAAGATAATTATGAATATGTTTATAGTATGACACAACAATTTCGTATCTCATAAATATTTTCGTTAAAAATAAATTTCAATATTACTAATTAAACTATCAAAAAAAAAATATATTTTTTTTTTGTCTTTGTGTTTAGGTCGTCTTGATCAATTAATTTATATTCCATTACCAGATGATAAATCACGTATGGCTATATTAAAAGCTGCTTTAAGAAAATCACCTGTAGCTAAAGATGTTGATATGAATTTATTAGCAAATGTAACAAAAGGTTTTAGTGGTGCAGATTTAACAGAAATTTGTCAACGAGCTTGTAAATTAGCAATACGAGAATCAATTGAAAAAGAAATAAATCGTGAAAAAGAACGACAACGTAATGGACAAACAGCTATGGATTCTGATGAATTAGATCCAGTACCTGAAATTCGTCGTGATCATTTTGAAGAAGCAATGAAATTTGCTCGACGATCAGTTAGTGATAATGATATACGTAAATATGAAATGTTTGCTCAAACATTACAACAATCACGTGGTTTTGGTTCACAATTTCGTTTTCCTGATCAACAACAACCATCACAAGGTACTGGTGGTGGTAGTGGTGGACAAGGTGGACATCGTCCTAGTAATAATGATGATGATGATCTTTATGCATAATTTAGCAATAATTACTTTAAAACAAAAAATGACCTTCCCTTCTTTTTTTTTTCGCATTTTATAAAAGTATACAGATATATTTAAGAAAATGATTGTAACGATTTGAGAAAAAAAAATATATATACTATAAAATCTCTATTGTACTTATATATTCTTGATTTCATCCATATATGTTGTCTATAAACATCAGCTGCTTAGCAGCATCCGTTCATATATGTATGAAATAAAAATCTCTAGATCATTTCTTTTTCTTTTTTTTGTTCCTATTGTTATAGTCACGATGTTAATGGTATTTGTTCAAATTTTCTCGTTTTCTTTTCTCATTGTTATGGTATCTTCTTTAGTTAACTTTAATCTTGTCTGATTTCTTTTACAAACTAAATAACGTTGAAACATAAAACAAATGATGAAAAAGACCATCACATGTTTTTAGAGAAAACAAAAATGATTAAAGAAAAAAAAATGATTTGTCACATAAAAGGATTTTAAATTGACTAAGACCTCTTTATACACAATGAACATTATGTAGAAAATTCAATCAATGTTACATATATATTTCGAACTATAACATAAGATAAGCTCATTTCAAAAGTAGTCTAAAAACAGCATCATCTACTCAATACATAGTATATTCAAAGAATCCATTGAAGTAATAATCAAAATCAATATATGCCATATATTTGCATAATGACCGCTATAGATAAATAAAAATAAGTGCTCAATTATCATTGATTTTTTTGTGAGATTGAAATTTTCTTTTTTTATCGATTATGATTTTCCAAACGATTGAGCATCTCATTCATACTCTTATTTGAAACTTATAATCATTTTGTATAGAAATATTCTTTTTGATGGAGGCCTTAAACGAAAAAATTTTAATGGAGAAAACTGTTGGTGACATTCACCATAGCAATGAAAAAATTCAAACAAAAAAACAGCATAAATTGGGAAAAATAGCACTATAATAAGAAACAATCAAGTGAGCATGCACAGGTTCACCAATAAAGTTAAACTATAAATTATTTTGAGTACTTTCTACATAGATAAGATATATTTCAATGAATCAAATTAGTATGTCTTATAGTGATTCACAGATCATCAATACTAGAAAAAGTAAGAATTTTGACCACAATAAAAAAAAAACTAGACTTTCTTCAATATCGAAAACAATATATACTGTTTTTTATTTGATATTTACTCGATTTTTTCTCGATATTAGTTACTTCAGATTATCTAAATTTTTCATAGTTACTTTACAATCATTTATTTGACATGTTGCAAAACGATCAAATTATTGATTCATTGTTGATTCTTCGAAAATTTTAGCATTGTGTTCAGTATCGAAGAAAGACTAGTCTTCTCCTTTCAAATAGAAAATAAGTATTGCATTATAGTATAAGTTCTAACTCGATTCAATTCAATTCAATTTCCCCCCAAAAAAAAACACGAACTGATTCTATCTCTATTTCATATATATGTTTTTGCCATTATAAATAAACCATTGTATAATATAGATAAAAGACAGAAAAATCAAGAGTTATATGGTTAGTATTATTTATTGTTCTTTGAAATGAGGCAGGTTCATTTAAGAAAAATTATGCTGTTGTGTCAAGATAAGCTCGAGGAAATAATTTAGGCAGACATTACACATCGTTGAAGTTTTGCGTTCCAATTTTGTTGAATCAAATAGCGCTTAGCACCAATAACTAAGTTGTAGACAGCCCCATTTGGAAGTCGATACAAAGTTCCATACGACCAGGCACTAAAATTACAAAATCTAGGCAATTGATGTTGTAGTTTGTTTCAAATACTATAATGATAATATTCATTTATTGTCGAAAGATCTAATTTGTCTTGGCAAATTGCAAGTGAAAATAATCAACAGGTTGTTCTC